GTTTTTGTCGGCCCCTATATATAAATTATTTCTGATATAGGCCTATGTAATTTTGTTGAATCGTCATGTTTGATGACAATAATACAAGTCTATAATTTTGTTAGTCATAAAAACATACAAAAATCGAATGCATGGAAAACAATTAGATTAAATAACAAATACTATTTTTATATGCAAATCCCTGAATGTGTGGCAATAACAAAATGGAAAAGTCTGCGGAATTCATAATTATTGAACTGTGTCATCACGAGTCCGATGCTAGGCTTCCCTCATAGGGGTGCAACCCCCTTGTCGGGGAGCTTAGACCCCCTCATCGGGGAATTCCTGGTGCCGTTAATGGTGGATAGGGGAGAGAGCGCCTATTTTGTTACCCCTCTGGATCCGCCATTGCTTTTTTTGGGATGCTTTAATGTTTGATAGTTTTGTTTGGTTCAAGGGCGCAGATACCGTATGCTTTGAAAATTGGGTGGCGGGCGCATTTCGTGAGACCACATGTCACCCACCTGAGCCCCACCATGGATGGGGCTGAAGTGGGAAAATTTGAGGAAATAGTACCTCTAGATGGCCGGAAATGACATTTTTATAGTAAAATTCATCTTCGTTTCATCACAATTATTTCTCATATTTTTTATCAGCGATTTTCGGAACCCAAAGAGATCTAATTAATATGTGTGATATGACAATAGAAATTAAACTTAAAACCATTGTCTTTAATGTACAGCAGATACTTTACTTTAACTACTTCAAAGCCGTGAGCCCACACCCACCTTAGCCCTCCATGGTTGGGGCTGAGGTTCTGAAAATTTGAAGAAATAGTACCTTTAGATGGCAGGAAATGACACTCTTAGGCCTATATAATGAAATTCGTCATCATCACATCACCATTGTAGTCATGCAACTTCCTCATGATCTTTTTAAACAATTTTCGGCAATTAGAGATCTAAATAACCTGTGTGGTGTACCATAGTTGGAGCGGATCCAGGATTTGGCGGTAGGGTTGCGTGAGAGTCCACCATCCTCAGCCCCCACCATGGTCAGGGCTGAGGTAGGAAAATTTTGAGAATATGGACCTAGGTGCCCGGAAATTGCACTCTCATACTTAAGAAATCCTATTATAAGGCCATGTAAAGTTTTAAAAAAAAATGTTAGCGTCTTTATGATATCAATTTTCATGGTAGGGAGAGAGGTTTTTTTTTTTTTTTTTTTTTTTTTTTTTTTTTTTTTTTTTTTTCTCACTTCAAACATGAAAAAAGAGTGTCGCAAGGAAAAAACAGTTAAAACCAAGACGAAGAAAACAACAGAGACCAAAATTGCGAACAAGAAATTATGTAATTCATCTATAGCAAGCAGCAACTTTACCTATCATGAATAACAGTCATAATGCAATTATCTTATTATATCTCTATGTGTGTTCCCCGCTTTTGCATCGCGCGCGGGCGTATTACTACGATGGCCCA